GCGTCGGGGCCGCCGGGCGCCCGGAGCGCCTCATCCCTCGCCCTAGCCATCGCCATCACCGCGCTCTACTCGGCTGTGTGCGCAGTGGGGCTGCTGGGCAACGTGCTCGTCATGTTTGGCATCGTCCGGTGAGTTAGCCGAGGGCCCCGCGTGGGGTTTGGTCCCAGGGTCAGTGTGGACACTACGTTTTTGCAGACCCGGATCCCAACCCCGAGTCTCCCAGCTCCTGCATGTCCCGCACAGAGGCCAAGTCCTCTCTCTCTCTCTCTCTCTCTCTCTCTCTCTCTCTCTCTCTCTGTGTGTGTGTGTGTGTGTGTGTGTTTTCTTGCACTAGCCTAACTACATCACAATTAATCATCCTTGACATTCCTTTGCTTCTGCATCCGGGAAGTGAGGCCGTTTGGCAACACTTTGTCACACACAGTTTGTGATCCAGCAATTTGACAGGAGGAGTGTGTGTGTGTGTGTGTGTGTGTGTGTGTGTGTGTGTGTGTCTCTGTGTGTGTGTGTGTGTGTGACTGTGTCTGTGTGTCTGTGTGTGTGTCTGTGTGTGTGTTTGTGTGTCTGTGTGTGTGTGTGTGTGTGTGTATGTGTGTGTGTGTGTGTATGTGTGTGTGTGTGTGTATGTGTGTGTGTGTGTGTATGTGTGTGTGTGTGTGTATGTGTGTGTGTGTGTGTGTGTGGTCCTCTGAAACATCACAGGGGTGGGCTGAGGTGTTTTATACCATGCCTTGGGTCTTCGGAGCATACAGCAGGGACAGATCCATGCTGCAGGGACACTCCACAAATCACATTTGGTTGTCATCATTTGTGGTTGCTGTGGCAGTGTGGGCTTGTCCCAAAACATCAGTTTGTGATTCTGTATGAGACTGTATTTGCATTGTTTCTTGTCAGGCCTCTACAGCTCCTAGGTGAGGGAGACATCCAGGATGGCTTTGCGCACCTGTCTTTAAGCTGTGTGTTCTCTAATAGAGAGCCCCATGGTTCCTGTGGACTGGCCATAGGTTCTCTTCCCTTCCACAGTGGTCATGTGGTCAGGAACTCTGTCTATGATTCAGGGCAGGCTATCCTTCTTGAGGTCTAGGATACAGCAAGACCAGGGTGGTGATGGGAAAGAGAGAGAGAGAGAGAGAGAGAGAGAGAGAGAGAGAGAAGAGACAGGAGAGAGGCAAACAAGGGCTTAAGAGACACAGGATGTAGCTCAGTGGGTAGAGCTTGTGTAAATTTGTGACACCCTGGGTTCGATCCCTGACACACCATAAACTGGGTGTGGTGGTCCATGGCTGTAATCCCAGCCCTGTGGGTATGGAAGCAGAAGGCTCAGAAGCCAGAAGTTATCTTTGGTTGCATAGAGAACTGGAGGCCAGTCGAGGACAACGGGCTTGGGGTAGAGTTAAATGGGAGAGCACCTGCCCACCAATGTGCAACACTGAGTACTGCCTAAGTTAACAAAGTGAAATGTCTCTAATTCACTGTACCTGGGGGCACAGTGACGTTAGTAAAGCATTTTTTTCTCTCTCATACTGAGGTAAGGGTTCATAGCAGGCTTTGCAGTATGAAAGGTTTGGGTTGTCCCCTCTGTCTTCTGCCGAGGTTCCCTGGGGCTGCTGGGAAGAGTTCTCAACCACAATTTTGAGACTTGGGAGCACCAAGCCCAGTGTTGTTTAGAGAGATGCAGTATGGCCGCTTGCCTCTGTCCCCCCTCTTGCTCAGATTAGGGGTTCAGATCTTTTACTCCCAGTCAGAAGACCCTCCAGAAAGATGAGGCAGTGTGGAGGTAAAGGTCATGGCTGTGGTGTGGTGCCCAGTTTCTAACATCTTCAACATGACTGATGTGGTGGTGGCCAAAAAGCTCAACTTTCCGGAGCCTCCCTTACCTCATTTGAAAAAGTATGGTGACTACAATAGGCTGTTGGGAAGGTTTAACAGAGTGATGCAGGGAATGTCCTCATAGCAGGCACCTGGAGTACACTAGGCCTTCCGTGTGTGTTGGGGGCTGGGCCAGCACGTCAGCAGCTTCTGCAGGTGGGCAGCTGTTGAGGATTAGTTGTCTATAGTTTCCATGTTGGGCCCTGTCTCCTGCCCTGCAAACGTGCACATTTAGTCAGTCATCAATTAAAATCACTGTTGTTACTCATTGCTACACCTGTCCAGCCTTAGGTTTTTGTTTTTGTTTTTGACACAGCTTTGGCTGGTCTGAAACTCACTATGCAGAACATGGCTGGCTTTGCAGTCATCTCTTAGAGATCCACCTGCCTTGGCCTCCCGAGTGCTAGAATTAAAGGTGTGCACCATCATGCCTGGCCGTCAGAGCTTTCGATGCCCAGAGCGTGAGTGAGCCCAAACCTCAGGTAGCCTCTAGCTCTTAACATCCATACTCAAGGATCTAAGGTTAGAGGCTACCTCAGGATCAAATCCTAGGGCTGTGGGATTCAGGGCAGGGACTTGATTTAGCCAGAGGAGGTGATGCCTGGACTGAGTGGTGAAGGAGCAGCTGCAGTGGGCTCTGTGGTGAGGTGGGTGGGGCAGAAGGACATCGAGAGATCTGGTAAAGAGCCAGGAGTTTCGTCTGGGGTCTGGGTGGCCAGAAGGTGGAGAGGCTGCAGGATAAAGGCATAAAAAGCCTTGGCAGTGGTGGTCCTCTCTCTGGGGTTGTTGGAAACGTCTGCTATGTCCTGAGCTTCGTTAGAGCCTAGTGGCTGGTGATGAGTCTGTCAACTTAGCCTCTGCCTTCCAGAATGCCCAAAAAGGTGTAGACGCTGGAGGGGTTCTATAGACCCCAGGCAACAGAAGGAATTGATCTGGGGGAGGGCGGGAAAATGGGGAAGGAGTGAGAAGTTGAGGAGAGTCTTGGAGACAGGCCAGGGTGGCTGTGTTAGGAACAGGCAGTGTGCTGGGGCTCTGACTGCTATTCTGGATGTGGAATTGGAGTCTGGACAGGTTCTTGGCTCCATGCTAAGGCCAGCTGTGCTGGGAAGTCTAGGGGTGTCTGGGGAGGGGGACATCTGTGAAGAATGGTGGTCAAGAGTATAGATCTGGTATAGTCTGGAGCAGACGAGGTGGGCAGAGAGTGAGTGTGGGGGGAATCAGAGGCTGGTGCCAGGCAACGGGAGGAGCCCTGTGACCCTGGGCAGGTAACCAAAACCCCTGTCTCCAGCCTCCATGGCCTCTCTGCAACTCAAGCCTGCTAGACCTGACAGGAAGGCAGAAACTGGACTGATGACTTTGGGTGAAACCAAACGGGGAGAGGGCAGAGTGAGCAGCAGCCAGGGCCTCCTGGCCTTACCCACAATCTGCCATTTCCTAGGTCTTAGGATCATTCCCTGAGGAGTGTGTATGACTCACAGACACAGCGGGGTGAGTAGGAGGAGTCACCAAGGACACCGAAGTCTTTCCTGAGCCTTCTCCTGGGCTCTAGGGATTCTCCAACCTGCACCACAATTCTGCAGTGGGACTTTCTATTCTCATTCATAGTCGAGGACATGGGTACAGAGGCCTCCCACTACAGAGGAGTTTAGTGGAGTCACAAGCTCAGCTTTTGTTCTGTGACAGAGTTTCCTATAGCCAAGGCTGGTCCCCAACTTGCTGTGTAGTTGAGGATGAACTAGAACTTCTCCTCTTCCTGTCTCTGCCACACCAAGTGCTGGGGTTACAGACAAGCATGCCCAGCATAGACTCAGGTCTTTCTGAGCCCCCAAACCAGCGTTAACCACTCCGCCTATGCTACTCTTGAGACGCATGCAGAGTGGAGGTCAGGGTTGTGCAAATCTCCGAGACCTCAGTGGGTGACCCAGAAGCTGCAAGCCCAAATTTCAGGGCCAACTGACATTTTCTAAGAGAGTGAGCTTAAACAATCCGTACATTAATCTTTCTGTGCCTCAGTGTTCTGCTCTGTGGAATGGGAGGATGGTAGACCCTCCAAGGATGAGTGTGAGGAGATCACGGAGCATGAACCAGCACCAGGTGTTTAGTAAGGGTCTCAGAAGCAATTTCTGTGAAGTCTGGCTGTGAGGGGGAGGGGTAAGGCTCACCTCTCATTCACCCCATTGATGTTTATTAAGCATGGGAAGAGCTCTGAGTGGGTGCTACAGGGCAAGTTCATCAGGTCAATATTAGAAGCTTTCTTTTATAATAAAGATAACTAGATAGTTACTTCAGGACCTAAGGAGATGTTCTGGCAGAGGTTGATATTACCCATAATCCTACTGCAGAGAAAAGCTTAGTCATTTATATGCATTTCTTTCCCATCTCTGCTTCTGTACACACACACACACACACACACACACACACACACACACACACACAGAGAGAGAGAGAGAGAGAGAGAGAGAGAGAGGAACACACACAGAAAGAGAGAGAGAGGAACACACACACACACATGAGAGAGAGAGGAACACACACACACACAGAGAGAGAGAGGAACACACACACACACACACAGAGAGAGAGAGAGAGAGAGAGAGAGAGGACAACACACACACACACAGAGGAACACACACACACACAGAGCGAGAGAGAGAGAGAGAGAGAGAGAGAGAGGACAACACACACACACACAGAGGAACACACACACACACAGAGCGAGAGAGAGAGAGAGAGAGAGAGAGAGAGGACAACACACACACACACAGAGGAACACACACACACACAGAGCGAGAGAGAGAGAGAGAGAGAGAGAGAGAGGAGAGAGAGAAACACACACACACACACAGAGAGAGAGGAACACACACAGAAACACACACACACACACACACACACACAGAGAGAGAGAGAGAGAGAGAGATAGAAACACACACAGACACATAAACACACACATACATACAGAGAGAGAGAGAGAGAGAGAGAGGGAGGAACACACAGACACATAAACACACACACACACACATACAGAGAGAGAGAGAGAGAGAGGGAAGAACACACACAGACACATAGACACACACACACATACAGAGAGAGAGAGAGGAACACACACAGACACATAAGCACACACACACATACAGAGAGAGGAACACACACAGACACATAAACACACACACACATAGAGAGAGAGAGAGAGAGAGAGAGAGAGAGAGAGAGAGGGAGGAGAGAGAAACATACACAGACACATAAACACACACACACATACAGA